ATGTTCTTGCAGGTTCTTGCTGACATTAATAGCTCCAGCTGTCCGCTGGCTTCTCAGGGAGATGGGGGATGGGAGGCGTTCTTACCTTTCCGCTGTGTTTCTCACATCGAAATCATCGTTCTAAAAGAGGCCACATCTAAACATCCCTCAGACTTATGACATGCAGTCGTGAGAATGGATGAAAGGCCCTGTACAAGGTACACGAACAATTCGACACCGTGGCCACCGTCTGTCATTGTTATTTATGACACTCCCCGTTAATCGACTGACTTCTTAAAAATTTGAAGCCCCATCCCCGTGCACATCAGACCAGCAGCTTTCCCAGCCCTCTGTACTCTCATGAGGTCTGCTCAACATTCTGTCTCAAAAAGTTAGGGAGGGAGAGTCTCTGGGGTGTTGGTAGTGATTTCCTATTTGACTTAATCCTGGTTTGATTTCTCACACATCTTGCATGGCTTCCCCCCCAGCTTTTCGTCTGCAGATCCAGGCCAATTCCTGGGCAATTCAGTCATGACTTACGCAAATAGACTGTGATTGTTAGATGAGCCTGTGAGATGAGAGTGGGGTTGCTGAGGCCCCACTTCCGTGCACTGCATAAAGACAGATGGTGCAACTCCTTACCTACACTCACCGCTGTCCAATTATCCCAACACCTTTTTCCCAGACCTAAGGGTGAAAGAGATCTTACGCACTGCTTACACCACGCTGCCCAACTCCGGCCAAGGCACCAGGATGGAGCTGGCCTGCACCCTTTTTGTGCAAGCTGGAACGCCACTCTCCCCCTGCTTTGTGGAGCAGATCTCCCGGTGGGCCAACAGCAGCATGGAGCCAGCCCACTTCAGTGAACCCAGCGGCACCAGCATGCAGGCCAAGGAATGGGCCTCCAGGAAGATCGCAGGTAAAAGAAACCATTCATCTGGGTGAGGCTGATGTTGGAGGACTATGAACACAGGTACCAGGCCTTCCCGGTCAGAAGCCACATGGATGGATACTCAGGTCACCCTCGATTGCAACAGAAGTTTGTTCTACTGGGAGACCCTACCCTTAAATGACATGCTCTATGAAGCAAGCAAGCTGACATTTGGCCTCCTTCTGCCCATCTTCCCACACGCACATGCAGAAGGGAGGTCTTCAGAGCCTCCTACCTCCAGGGGAGCCCTGAGGCTTTGCTGTATGCACCTGTTCCCCTAAGGTGAATTCTTGACCATCTCTGTCTCCCCAGCTCTGCTGTCATCTACAATTAATTTTTGTGACAGCAAAATAAAGTAGGAGCCAAAAAGTTCTTGGAATTCAAGCTAAGAAAAAGTTACATGTAATAAGACATTGGGCCCCAATGTCTTTGATAAATGTTATCGAAGAAAAACACTTAGAAATAACCTAACTGCCCAGAAGTTGGGGATAATTCCATGAATTATAGGACCTACATATTATGCAATTGGAATTAGTAAAGATGGTGAAAATTAGTACACTTACTGAGGATCCGTTTACTGATTTAATTCTTTTCTAAGTGCACTGTGTTCATTATCTCTGTTTATCCTCATAACAATCCCAGGAGATAGGTGCTGTTCTTGCCCCTAGTTTACAGGTAGAAGAACTGAGGCACAGAGCCAGGATCCCAGCCCAGGCAGTCCGCCTCTAGCATTCCTGATAATTACAAAGGTTACACAGAAATAGGGAGAATGTTCAAGATAGATCAATTTATCAATAACTCCCCCTCTGTCAGTTTTCTTCAGTGCTTCCCAACGTCTTTTCAGTGTACTTAAAAGTGTTTAATTCACTATGCTGTGGGGTAGGGGTGGGACAAGGCCACACAGCTGCGGTCAGGCCCCCCGGTGATAGTCCTCCACGGAAGAGCGGTGGCCAGGGAAGAGCCTGGAGTCTGGGGCCGGGCTGCTTGTGTTCAAATCCAAGGTCTCTGTCTTGAGCAGCTGGGTGGTCTGTGGCTTGACCACCCACACATATGTGACCTGGGACAACTTCTCCAGGCTTTGGTGCCCTCTCTGTAAAACTGGGAATAACAATTGAACTGATGGGAGGTGTCGGTGAGGGTTTGTTAAAGCATTTCAAACAGAGCATAATATCTGTTTTTATTAATAAAGGGCCGAGGCAACAACCATTGCGGAGCCTGCTGTCTTCTCTCCAGTAATGCATGGAATTTGAAGACTGTGCCCTGGATGTTACTGTTTAAGCAAAGACTCTGCCAGGGATGAGTCCCAGTGGGGGGCGGGGGGAGAGGAGGGGGTACACCATGCAACAGCCCAGCCACAACACCCAGTGCGCCTCCCAGGCCCACTGGACAGTACATACCTAAGGCCCCTGGGAAACGCCCAGCCAGGACCAACGGGAGCCTCCCAACCTGCTTTGCAAAGGATGAAAGCATGGTCTTCAGCCAGAGCTAGTTACACCTCCTGTAATTCCCCAACTAATGATACTGACAAGCAGGCCCCAAACCCAAACTCAGGGATGCACTGGAACCCTCCAGGACAGGTACGCCAATCTCAGCAACACCACCATTCTCTCGCTTGCAGGTGACGACCGAGGTGGTCCAATGTGGGAGCATGGTGGAGGGGCAGGCCTGGCCCAACTGGCACTAGTGAGCACCATGTCCTTCCAAAGCACTTGGCAGCAGAGATTCTCCTCTAGGGACACCCAGCTCCTGCCTTTCACCGGCGCCCAGGGCCTCGTCATCCAGGTCCCCATGATGTACCAAATGGCCGAGGTCAACTACGGTGAGCTCCTTCCCCACCAGCGGGGCCGTCTTCCATGAGAGGAACACGGGAGTAATATGGGCAGGGAGAGGAGGGCAGTGGGCGATCTAGAAGGAGCCACAGTGTTTCTCTGCCTTCCCTCTGCTGTGAGGTATGTGCAGAGTGAGGAGAGCCCAGGGGGCTGGAAAACCCAGAGAGGACAATGAGGATAGGGGGTGGTGGGGGAGAAACCTAATTTTGCGCTTGACATTTCCCTCTGCACCTACTAAGAGACGTTAGTGTAAAACCAAAAATGTTTGGACCAAACCACCCCTGTCCCAGCAGGCACCCCCATAAAATGAACAACTGTTTTACGGTTTGGTGCTGACATAGCGCAAAAGATTGAGAGTCCAGTCTAGAAAGCTCTTGAGAGCGCCCCGCCGTGGACCTGACATCCGTCATCCCGCCCTGCCAGGGTGGTCACTCATCCCAGCCCACTGGGGTGCAGGGGCACAGTCAGTGCCAGGAGACCCCACCCTGCAGGCTGGCTTATGGTGTGGACGCCTCCGTGGAGTCCTAGAAAGGCAAGAGCAGAAGAGAAGGGACCCAGCTGCCTGTCCCCACACACCTCTCTCCCAGCCCACTTGCTGTCATCCTGCTTTGATTCCATGCAGGATGCATTGTGAGTGCTCGTAACCATTTAATCATTTGTTTATTCATCCAGTAATTATTAACTGAGGTCAAGTAAGGTGAGAGTGGGAAGAACGTCAACCAGATAAGTAAATATGTATTTATGACTATTATAGTTCTTGTTCCCAAAGTTTTCCCCATTGTTGCTGTGACCCATGCTGGTTGATCTGATTGTCTGCTGCATAAAATTTCCCAATTTTATGGGTGTAGAGCTTTTGTTGAAAGAACGATCTAGCACGAAGAGCCTGGGTCCCCACATGGCCACAGATGGCCAGGATTGGAATGGCTTCGCCTTTAAGACGGGGTACCTGGGTGGCTCAGTTGGTTAAGCATCTGCCTTCAACTCAGGTCATGATCCCAGGGTTCTGGGATCAACCCCCACATCAGGCTCCCTGCTGGGGAGTGTTTCTCCCTCTCCCTTCTCCCGTTCATGCTCTCTCTCATTTGTTCTCTCCCTCAAATAAATAAAGTCTTTTTTAAAAAAAGAATTAAAAAACAAACAAACAAAAAAGACAGTAGATGGCTCTCCCATGTGCCATCATCCCCACCGTACCCAGACACTGCAGACCCTGTGACTCAAGACCTACAAGGGTATCTTAGAAATTCTAGATCTTAAGATCAGAAAAGGTGACAGTCTTTGGCCTCAACGGCTTCCGGAAGGTGAGACAGACACCTATTAGTAAAATGTATTGTTTCTTGTTCTATGAGATGGCCCTTCCCCAGCTCCTGGGACAGAACTAATCCCCCCCCCTCTACTGAACCCCTAGGTCAGTTCCAGGACCCTGCAGGCCATCAGGTGAGGGTCCTAGAGTTGCCTTACCTGGGAAGTACAGTGAGTCTGCTCCTGATTCTGCCACGTGACAAAGACACCCCACTGAGTCTCATTGAGCCACACCTCACAGCCAACATTCTCCACGTCTGGACCTCCAGCCTCAGGAGAGCCAGAATGGATGTGTTCCTGCCCAGGTGAGTAGCTGCCTCATCCTTACAGGGTGCTCTGCATTAGAGAACCCAGGTGGTTTGACTCTGGAGTCTGTCCTTAACCACTGGGCCCATTGTCTAATGTACTCCTAGAGGTTAGGAACAAGGAGGAGCGACCCTAGAGTTGGGGTCCAGATCAGAGTTTCTGCTGACTAGCTCATGATGCGGATAGAACAGACTTAATTTCTTGGGGTCTTCTCAAGAGAAGATACTCTGCCTTCACTGGGTCAGACTGGAGGCCCCAGGCTTCATGCTACAACCAGTTCTCTGAGCAGGGAAAGAAGAACAGTATAGTTACCTTGGAGGAATGTGCCCCAAATCTTACCACATCCTAAGAGTATACAACTGTCACTTTTTTCCAAAACCAAAGACACAAGATAGTTTATGTCATTGAGCAAATGCCCATATAATTCTGATCAGAAGGCAAATTAAGGTGTAAAAAATTCAAGACTTGTAGTCTCTGTGCTGAAGGTTCTCCTTCTCTCTCAATAGAGTTGAGCCTTTCTTTAAGAAAACCCAATAGGTACAAATACAAATTGTTACAAATTGTTACAAATACAAAAGTTAAAGGATGGTTCTAGATTTTGATTTTCCAAAGCGAAATTTATTTGCAAAGCTCATTACTCGACAAAGAAGTCTGTATTGAAATTCTTTAAATGATAAGCTTCTCTGGTACATTTGAAATCAAAGTGAACTTGTAATTACTTTGTAGACCAGCATCAAACAAGGACTGTTGTCCGAGGGCTTGGGATACGGATTCTTCATGCTCCTTCCTGCTGGCCACTTTGGCCTTCTCTGCTGTCCAGGCCCTCAGCACCACTGGGCCAGTGGTCTTGGCAGTGCTCCTTCGAGGAGTTAAAAATAAGCCCAGACTCTGAAATAAAAACACACAAAGAGAGATCCAGTGAGTTAAGGCCAAGGTCTAAAGTGGGATATGGCATAACCAGGGCAGAAAGTGAACATAAATCTAAGAGAAAGCCTGTGTCTCTCCAAACCAAATATCTAGACCCCAAATGAAAGCAGAAAGACAGGATGCCAGCAGATCTCTAGCAGGGAACAGAAGCAACCCTAGTCTTTCTGTTCTGTTTGAGAGAAGCTCGGAGAAGGAAGAGGCGCTTTTGATGTGAAAAGTAGACAGAGAGTGCAACCCGGTGCAGGAATCTGTCAGTCTCTTCAGAATGAGGGGACAGATGGCTGTCCTCATCCTGGAGCAGCTTCTGTGAGGAAGAAGCCCCAGCAAGATGCCCAGCTCCTTCAAGAGGCCTCCACTGTCTGATTCCACCTTCAGAATGATCTGAAACACCCCAAAGACAGGGACAGGATGGGGCTGCAGAGATCATAACAACGCACAGTATGAATTAACACTTGACCTTGTCCTGATATATTTCTTTTTTATCTCCCTTAGACTATGGAGTCTGCCATCCAGAAGGTTTTAGGAAAATGAGCTGTTTCACAAGCAAAATTCACCAAGTAAAAGAAACAGCTTCAAACCCTTGAAAGAATACATAGAGAAATCATTAAAAAGAGGTTTTAGGTCTAAATTTGGGTACAAAACATTGGACCATGGTAGACACAAGTCATGTTTTGGACAAGAACTTACCTCTAGTTCTGCAGATCATTGATTCATCATTTAACATGATCTGCTTTATAGCCAGCCTGCATTTTTCATGTAGCAAGAGCAAAAACTTCTGCACCCTGTGGGTAGCAATGCAAAAATCGTGTGGTGTTGAGGTGTGCCTTGGGGTTAAACATCCCCAAACAGTATATTAGTAGATTCTGGATGAATGATGATGTCTAGCTTCCAAAGTAATATTTTATTTATGAAGAAATAAAATAAAATGTATAGGGACAATTAGTCTTCATTAGGGATATTAGTTAACCAAAAGAATAATCAAGAAAGCCAACAAGTGCTAACAAAGGTCATTTATATCCATAATAATGTAATACCCCACAAAAAAGACTAATAATGTCAAATATATATTTGTTTAATGAGTAAGACATTTGGTTATTAGATCGACATAGTAGGAAGCTAAACATGAGCATTTCTTTTCTGACAACAGAAGTCACATAGTGTTTTTTTATTGAATATAATTAACATACGGTGCTACAGTTTCAGGTGTACAGTGTAATGAATCACAAATTCTATACATTATTCAGTGTTCATCATGATAAATGTACTTTTTTTAAAAAGATTTTATTTATTTGTTTGACATAGAGAGAGAGAGATCACAAGCAGGCAGAGAGGCAGGCAGAGAGAGGAGGAAGCAGGCTCACTGCTGAGCAGAGAGCCCGATGCAGGGCTCAATCCCAGGACCCTGAGATCATGACCTGAGCTGAAGGCAGAGGCTTAACTCACTGAGCCAACCAGGCGCCCCGATAAATGTACTTTTAATCCCCATCACCTATTTCACCCACCCTCCACCCATCTCCCCTCTGGCAACCACTAGTTTTTTCTCTGTATTTAAGAGTCTAGGGTTTTTTGTATGTGTCTCTTTTTCTCTTTGTTTCTTGTAAGTATTTTAAAAATCCACCAGATCTTATATATTCGGAAGTTTTGGCCTTCCTTTCAAAGGGCTGCTAATCATCGTCATGTATGGATTATGCTTTTCTATGGGAGTCTTCTTCTTTTTTTTTTTCTTTTAAGGTTTATTTATTTATTTATTTGACAGAGAGAGAGAGAGAGAGAGATCATAAGCAGGCAGAGAGGCAGGCAGAGGGGGAAAAGGAGAAGCAGGCTCCCTGCTGAGAAGAGAGCCAGATGCGGGGCTCAATCCCAGGACCCTGAGATCATGACCTGAGCCGAAGGCAGAGGCTTAACCCCCTGAGCCACACAGGCGCCCTCTTTCTTTTTTAACAAATTAAGATATAATTCACCTAACCATAAAATTCATTCTTTTAAAGCATACAATTCAGAGGTTTTTAGTATATTGGCAAAGTTGTGCAACCATCAGCACTATTCAATTTCAGCACATTTTCATCACCTCTAAAGGAAACTCTGTGCCCATTAGTAGTCCCTCCACATTCCTTCTCCTCACTAGTGTCCTAGGCAACCACTAATCTACTTCCGTTCTCAATGGACTTGTCTGTACCATACATTTCATATAAATGAAATTGTACAACATGTAGCCTTCTACATCTGGCTGCTTTCACTGAGCATAACGTTTTCAAGGTTCATCCTTGTTGCAGTGGTACATCAGTACTTCATTCTTTTTTATGGTGGAATAATTTCCTACCGTATGGATAGTCTACACTTTGCTTTATCCATTCATTGGTCTATAGACATGTAAGTGCCAGGAAACTTTTTGGCATGTCTTTACATTTTGGCTTCTGAAATACATTGATGTGCACATTTTTGTGTAGGTATAGGTTTCTTGGTTATATACCTAGGAATGGAAATACTGAGTCTTGTGTTAACTCTACATTTTACACCTTGAGCACCTACCAGTTTTCCAAGGGGTTATACCACTTTACATTCCCACCAGCAATCTATGAGGTTCCAGTTTCTCCATACTCTTGTCAACACTTGTTATCATCCATCATTTTTGATAAGTCCCTCTTCATGTGGGATGTGTGGTGGTACAGAGGTTTCAGTTTGGTTTGATGAAAGTTTCCAGAGTGGATAATGGTGGTTGGAGAGCAATGTGAATATACTTCATGCTACTGAATAATGTCCTTAAAATGGTAAAATTCTATGTGGTGTATATTTTACTACTGTTTTTTTTTTTAAGTCCTTCTGAATGGAGGCAAGGATTAAAAAGTAGGGATGGTATAGTGTTTACATTCAGAAACTACATAGTTAATCTTAGTTACATTAGTTACATTGATAGGATTCACCAACCCCCTTGCCCTCCAGCAGTGCCCTTCTCTGTGTTTTGTCTTCTCCCTCGGGTTGGAGGCAAGATGGCTGCAATCTGTCTAACCTCACAACAGTAACAACAGCTTTGGAGAAGAAAACCCCCGTTTTTTTCTTGTAGCCATCCTAGTTGGTGTGAGGTGGTTTCCATGGTGACTTTCACTTGCATTTCCCTAATAACTGATGATGTCAAGCATATTTTCATGTGCTTTCTGGCCATTTACACATCTTTTTTGAAGAAATAGCTATTTGAATGTCCTCTCCACTTCTAAATTGGTTGTCTTTACTGCTGACTTGTGATAGTGCTTTATATATTCTGGATGCTAGTCCCTTATTAGATTTATAATTTGCAAATATTCACTCCCATTTTGTGGGTTGCCTTTTCACTTTCTTGACAGTGTCATTTGAAGCAGAAGAGTTTTTCATTTTAATGAGGTTCAGTTAATTTATTTTTTCTTTTATTTTTTTTGTGCTTCTTTGATGTCATTTCTAAGAAGCCATTGCCTAACCCAGGTTACAAAGACCTATGTCTATGTTTTTCTAGGAATTTTTAGTTTTAGCTCTTGTATTTTAAATTAATTTTTGTATGTATTATGAGGTAGAGGTCCAATTTCATTCTTTGCATGTGGTTATCCAGTTGTCCCAGCACTATTAATTGAGAAGACTATTCTCTCTCCCATTGAATTTTCTGGGTACCTTTGTTTAAATTAATTGATGGTAAGTTAATGTGTTTATTTCAATGGATTTAGTTTCAGTTCTATTCTATAGGCACAAATGTCTATACTTTAGCCAGTATGACACCATCTTGATTACTATAATGTTTAGAATTCAGGAAGTGTTAGCCCTTCGACTTAGTTCTTTTTTCAAGATTGTTTTGGCTAGTCTGAGTCCCATACATTTTCATATGAATTTTAGGATCAGCTCATCAGTTTCTGCAAAAAAGGCAGCTGAGATTTGGATGATGATTGTGTTTAATGTGTATATCAATTTAGGAATACTGCTAACAATATTAACTATTCCAATCTGTGAACACAGGACTCTTTTCATTTTATTTATGTGCTCCTTAGGTTCCTTCGATTATGTTTTTTTAGTTTTCAGTTTACAAGTTTTGTATTTCTTTTGTTAAAATTATTTCTAAGTATTTTATTCCTTTTGATGCTATTATAAATGGAATTTTATTTGCAGATTATTCATTGATAGTATAAAAAAAGGTTGACTTTTGTACCCTGGTCTCATATCCTGCCACCCTGATTAACTCATTTATTCTAAGAATTTTTTCACTCTGTGTATGTATTCCTTAAGATTATATATATACAAGATCAAGTCATTTGTGAGTAGAGATAGGTGTACTTCTTTCTTTCTAATCTGGATGCATTTTATTTCTTTTTCTTGCATAATTGCCCTCCATGCCCTTCAGGACAATGTTAAATAGAAATAGTGGACATCTTTCTCTTATATCTGATCTTAGGCAGAAAGCATTCAGTCTTCACTATTAAGTATGATGTTAGCTGTAGGTTTTCTGTAGAGGCCCTTTTGCAGACTGAAATATTTCCCTTCTGTCCCAAGTTTATTGAGTAATTTTTGTTTTCATGAAAGGGTATTGGATTTTTTTTCCACATGCTTTTCTACATTTATCGAGATGATCATGTGGCCTTTGTCCTTTATTCTGTTAATCTGGTGTTTTACACTGATTTTCATATGTTGAACACACCTTGCATTCCTGGGATAAATCCCACTTGGTCATGGTGGGATTTATATTTTGCTGGATTCAATTCACTAATATTTGGTTAAGGATTTTGTCTCTATATTCATAAGGGGTATTAGTCTGTAGTTTTCTTTTCTCGTGATATCATTGTCTGGATTTGGTAAAGGGCAATTTTTTTTACTCAAGATATTTTTGTAGCATTTCTTCTGGGCTGGCCTTCATAGCCATACAAGAAAAAAAAATCACTCTCACCTTTTATGGTCATACCTCACTTTTACTATTATCTTTAGTTACTAAAAAATATTACCCAGTTTTATCACCTACCATAATCACTGTATTTGGCTTCAAATATCCCTGAGCTTTTTCTCAATATCCCTGAGAAACACTAAAACTACAGTGAGAACAATAAAGTGCATGAGCCATGTTGGGCATTGTTGAGCACTTTACAAGAATTATTTCACTTAATCTTCACAAATTTAATAACTAAACACTATTATTATGCTCATTTCACAAATAAGGAATTGGAGAAGTAAAGTAGAAGTAAGAGAAGTAAAGTAACTTGCCCCAGTTCCCTTAGCCAGTAAGAGGCTGTGCCAAGATTCAAACCCTGGCATTGGACTACCAAATTCGTGCTCTTAACCAATATGTTTCAGCATTGAGATTTTTCAAAATGGATGTGTTTTAAGTATTTAAGAAAATTTCAGAAGAGGTGATCAAAATTTTTTGAGAATGTCAGCATAGTTGGAGGAAACGTGTACCTTTTTGGAAAACTATTCTAAAGATCCAAAACATATATTTATGAGAAAATATGATACTTCTGTTTAAAATTTTGGTCACCTGTCTTGTATGGCAATGGAGATCTTTGATATTAAATGGTCTTGTCCAGTATTTTTACTTTCCTACAAGTTCTGCATAGTTTATAGAAAAAGATCATCTAAATTCTATTTCAATGTTTTTTCATTTTCAAAGAAAAATAACATGAGCAATCCTTTAAAAGGATCCTTCAACAGTAAAATTTTAAATTCTTTTCCCTTGGAGAAATATTACAAAGTTGGTGTGTTGATTATTCCTACTCTCAGGACTTATTAGGAAAACCAAAATTTTTACTTATATTTCTTCCCTCCTGTGCATCAAAGACACACAATAACACAGCGAACACAAAAATATGGCTTATCAAATATGAACATATTCAATGACACACTCTATTAATTGTTAATCAACAGCTTCTTTTCTGCACCTACTATGTGAGATGTCTCACGACATGGGAAGTAGCAAAGGGTAGACGCCAAGAGCACAGGCTCTGCATGCAGACAGCCTTGCTTTGAGTTGAGTTCCACCACATATTCATTACATCATCTTGGGCAAGTGTCTTAATCTCTTTAGGGTTCAGTTTTCTCATCTGTAAAATGAGGATAATAATAACATAGTTAGGTGAAGATGAAATTAGATAATCTACATAAAACACTTGTCATAGTATCTAGTACATTGTAAGCACTCATTAATTAGTTACTATTAGGAAATAAAGAATTGACTGGGATATCCTCTCTTCTCAAGTAGTTCATAATATCATGAATAACAGTAGTAGGAAGGAGAATAGTCCATACACCAAAAGAGCAGAACAAACAAAGTGTTAATGGGGACTTAGCAACCAAAGGACACAAAACAGCTGGAGAAGAGAGGAGGGGATGACAACTGAATGGAGCTTAGAGGAAATGGAGGTAACTCAAAGGCCATCAAAGGAGATGGGGTGGAAAGAACAGCAAAAGCAAAGGTATAGAGGTGGAAGAGAGCCCTGTGTGGTCAGAGTAGTCAGTGGGTAGGGTTTATGAGAAGGAACAGTGAAAAATAAAGCTGAAAATGAGGCTGGAGATCCCTGACTTCCAAGTTAGGAAGTTTGGCAATCATGTGGTGTGTATGAAAATATTTTGAATGAGATTTTTAAATGAAAGTTGATGGTTTGTTTTTGTTTTTTAGATTCAGGATCCAAAATCATTTCAATTTAAAAAGCATTTTAAATTCTTGGGGAGTCACCGATCTTTTTGATCCACTCAAAGCTAACTTGAAAGGAATTTCAGGTAACATTTCTTCTTTCAAAATTTTTGGCATTGTGCTTGGGGGCAGCTTTGTCATACCTTGATTAAGGGATTTTCATCTACCTTCAATGGTACAGTCAGAGTTAACATTATTTAAAAGAGGAAAGAAAGCTTTGCTTTATATAAATTCTTATATAAACATATAAGACATATAAGCGTATTCTATTGCTCCGGATAATAACCAAATTTGGGTTGGACTTTGTGGGAGAGGAGTGTTTCTTGAGACCTCTAAGCCCTGTTTTTGGAGACCACCTTCAGAGTGAGGTCAATGGCCACAGAACACAATACAACTCACCCTCCCTCTGCCTACCATGACTGGGAGCATGCCAGAGACAGCGGTGCAGTAACAGAACTCTTCATTCTGCTCTCCCACTGTCATGCTGGCCTCACGGTTGCCCTTTGTTTCTACCTCTTCCCTCTCCTGCCCTCCTTGTGCCATTTCTGTCCTGTTCTCATAAACTAACCTTGAAACTCTCTCATCCATCCAACTTCCTTTCTTCAAATTACTCATGTCCCTGTAATCTTGCCCTAAAGTTGTTCTCCTTTCCCAAGTCCCTATTAAATTTCTTTGCTCCTAGTAGATGCGCTGCTACTAATCAATAGGAGCTGTATTTGCTTATGATCTGACAGGGAACGTACACCAAATATTAAAAAAGAATGGAATGCCAAAACTTTATGTTCCAGAATCTTCTCTGAAGCCATTAGTTAAACTATTGCTAACTCCAAAGGCTCAGGTTTGTTTCCGCTCTGGACAGTAATAAATTATTTGTATGAAGATGATGCTGTAGCAGGTATTTTCATTGGCCTTAATACTTTCTTTGCCTGATGAGCTTCAGAATCTTCATTTTAAATGCTAGAACCTCATCACACAGTTTTCTAAAGCTTGCTCAAAATCTTATTAAGCGATCACACACATAAACACACACAAACACATACAGGAATTTGGTCCATAAAAGCAGTCTTGGCTTATATGTTAAACGTAACTAGACAAGCTAAATGGCAGTTACTTGTCAAATAAAGCATAGGAGGAAGGATCTATTCTAGATTTTTTAAAACCCACCAGCACGGTACGCATTACCTGAACATGCAAAGAGATAAGCAAAGCAATAGTCAAGTTTGGGCATAGTGCCCCCAACAATGCTTGATGCACAATGGATAGCCAATAAATATTGTTGACTTGGTTGAATGACACAACAAGGAATTTTCCCTGGTGACACAGGCATAATCTGACACTGTAGGGAAAAGAGAAAGCCTAGAGTGAAAGAAGCAGAGGTCAAGGAAAGGGGAAGGGATAATGAACTTGAGTGTACTCTGTCTTTAATAATGTGCAAAATCCAATCACAGTGTATTTTTCTGACTCCAGAACTAGCTAGGGCATTCCTTTTGTTGATGATGATACCATTCTTCCTTTGATCGTTCTAGTTCAAAACTTTGGGACCATTCTTAACCTTTTCTTCCACACCAATACATTCAATTGATCACTGACTCACTGATTGTTTCTTCATAGTTCTTAATCTCTCTGCCTTTATGTCCTAGAAGTACATCTCAAAGTACCATTAATCCTATGTCCTCAAATAGGACTGTGCTTAACCCACCCACATCATCATGCAGCTCCCCTACTGATAAAGACTTCCAAGGCCCATAAGCTCTCTTGACAAGATATAACAAGCAACCTAGTTGAGAAAGAACAATTTTTCATGCCTTTTTTAATGATGCAGTTAAAGTCTATGTAGATTTGTTCAAACCAGCAGAAATACAGGCCCATGGATCTAACTTGTTAAATAATTACCGAGCAGTTAGCCATGTGCCAAGTGTGAAGCTTAAATTAATGTCTCTTACTGATAAAACACATCAGCCTTATCTTCTCCCATAAAGTTTTGTTCCTCTAACATGGGCTCACCAAACAATGATCCAATCCCTGTTTTTATAAATAAAGTTTTAATGAAACAGCCACTCCCATTTATTTACAGACCATCTGTGGCTGCTTTCCTGCTACAATGGCAGAATTAGGCAGTTGCAAGAGACTGCATATGGTCTGCAATTGCTAAAATATTTAATATCTTGGCCTTTACAGATAAAGTTTGCCCACTACAGTATTGCTTTCCAATACCCTTCTTTAAACATAATCAAGAGACTAGTCACTTCATTGCCTAAGTGAGCTAATTGACTTAGTTATAGAGACATGGTGACTGAATCTTTCTAACAAATAGTTTCATCATTCCTAAAATGAGGTGGCTACCACCCACTTCACGTCTTACTTATGGAAATAAAATTCTTTAACATATAGCAAAGCATCAGCAGAGAGCTTTCCAGAAAATAAGTCATCAGAAAATGCTGGTCTCCCTTCTTATAATTAATGAGGTTATGAAGCAGTTTTGTGCTATTGGTAGAAGCTCAAACCACAGGGAATATTTGGCCTTTTCTTTCTATTTGGTTCCAGTGCCCAGAATCATTTTACTTAAGTTCTCCTTCCCCATTTAAGTTCTCCTTCCCATTTAAAAGTGACTTGTCTCTTCCTTCATGGCATCAAATCCTTTCCTGTTGCCTAAAAAAAAAAAAAAAAAAAAACTTGTTCAGTATCATCTCAAAGCCCAGCTGAGCCCAGGTTATAATTTTTCTCCCTAGACATCCTTGACACTACATGTTATAAAGCTTTTAAGAGTAATTCCAGTTTCACTTGCACAAAAGGTACCAGCTGGATATATACTTCTTAAGCAATCAAAAGGATCAGCAGGCTTTGATACAAACCCATGCTTCCTAATCCAAGAAATACTACTTTTGCATAAAGTTAAAACTTCAAGGAAACATCTTTTTCTTGACTTTTATAAGTGAATAATTAGTTTCCAATGTCTGCTCAGTGAGAACTACAAGCTCCATGTTACTACAACTTAAATGAGAAAACCACTCATAGTTGTTTGGATACATACTGAAGTTAACTTATAGCACACCAGATGACTGATCAGAACTGCAATAGGGCATCAAGATGGTGAGATAGATCATTTCCAACTTCAGTCCCCCTCCTAAGAAGACCAACTAGCCACTGTCCATAGACATGTCACCACTGTGGAAATCCCAGCACCCAGATGTGAAGCTGAAGCACCTCTCTGAACCACAGAGACTGAGAAGACCACATTATAATGGTAAAAGGAGCAGCTACACATGGTCTGTATCATTCCTCCTTCAGGCAGGCACAGCACTCACCAAGAGTACCCTCTCAGGCCTACTATAATTTCTCCAGTGAGAAAAGAAAACCAAGGTGGACATCCAACTCTTCCAGTGTTGCAGGAAACTTTCTGGAAAATCCATTCAAGTCTTGCCTCCTGGGGAAGACTCAGGAATCAGATAGAGAAGGAGAATGTGAGAGGAAAGGCTTACACTAGTCAACATTCAGACCTTGGCAGACCATATTCCTGCCTGTAGCAGTACCCAAGCAAAGACTCCAGCCATCAGGAATGCCCATCTGCAAGGCCAGGCTGGTAGCCCCAACCGGCCAGAAAGCATGGTTGGCAATTCAGCCTGATTTGGATCCCTAGTCAATGGACCATACTACCACTCTACCTTGCAGGAAAGCAAATTCACAGCCCTACTCAACTGCTAGGCACAGTCTCAAGTCCCATCCATCAAGGAAGCCTGACAAGAGAACCAGCTAGTTGAGAAGCCCATCCTACAGCTCTGCTTGGGCAGAGAGCCTGGCCAGCAGTCCTTCCCAACTGTTGAGCATATGCCCTACCTCCACATAGCCAGGGAGTCTGAAGAATGACCTTGGGGAGCCTTGTAGCCCAACCCACAGTGCTACTAAGTCACAGAGCCCAGCTTGTAGCCCCACCCAACTTCAGGGCACAGCTGGCAGCCCCACCTGAACATGGAGCCCAACCAGCAGCACCATCCAGTTGGGAAGCACAGCATAAGACCACCTGACTAGGAAAGATTGTAGAGTCCCTCTCATAGTTACCCAATTATGGTGTCCAACCAGTGGCACCACCCTGTCAGGGAACACAGCTACAACTTCATTGACCAAGAGTTGATTGTAGACTTAGGGACTCAACCTGACTGTGAAAGGATTGAGCCACTAACTCTGACGTAGCCAGAAGTGCCACCTGAACAGCAAGCCCACCCAGCAGCACTGCTTGAATACAAACCCAACCAGCAGTCCCACCCAGCCACAGAACTCAGGCAGCAGCAGCCCCCTGCAAATTCAAAAAGCATATGGAGAGGTTTTGCCCACACAGAGATGATGACAGTAAGCCCCAACCTGCCCACAAATTCTGCCAGCTGATTGGTAAATATCTTTCCTTACCAAAGCAAA